ATGGCGAATCGCACGTTGTAGATTAGCACCGGTGGATCGACATTTGCAGCAGTGTTTTGTGCCAGTGCTCGGGTCACTGAGATACCAGGTAAGTCTGTTTTCAGCTTCCCATGTACCCACGACACAGTCGATGTGTGTTTAGGAATTTAAGCATGGGGAAGCTTCGTACACGGAAACTGTTATGAGTCTTGTCGCTCATGGTGTGTGTCCGTAATTTGAATGCGGCCATTTTAAATGAAACTCCATTTGTCTTTTATTCCCAGTTAAGAGCGGTGTTCACACATTTTTAAATAACTCTACTAAATCTTTTGAAATGTCTCGGACGTTGAAGTATTTGTTCATTTGAAAATTCTTGTTAACACAACCAGGCTTTCCTGCTATTCCTTCTTTTTTTCTCTATTTTGAACTGTACGAGAATCACTTAACCCTTGCCTTACCTTTTGTACGAATCTGTTGAACTTATTTGCCTGGTAAGGTAGTTGTCACAAAACATCCGTGCTATTATATATCTTGGCCGTTAAAGCATTCCCTGATTATATAAATGCTTCATCTGTGTGTTTTCAACTTGATATCGCATTTTGGGAAAAGGCAATTTTTTTCAGTAACAAACAAGCAAGACAATAAGTTAGATCTTTCCTGCGCCACATAAGGACAGACGATATTGAAAAAAACGGTAACCCTAAATCCCACGAATTAGCTCACATGCTAGATCAACACTTGTGTACTCTATAAATATATTATCATTTTAACAATCAAAAACATTCACATTCGAGCGCTTTGGTGCTACGACACATCCAAACGAAGTAAAGGCCACTTTCATACGCCATCCTCGCCGTTTTACTATAAGTACCAGAAAAATCGCTTTCAGTTTTGCTGCTTTTTAAACACCATGTCAGCTCTGATTCCGATCGCATGAAAAGGTGCACATCAAATAGAAATTCAGCTTCTCTCGGTTCAGTATTAAAGTCCCCTTACTCCCGGAGGTCACATGGGCAATTACTGCAACTCTTTTTGGCATTCACCTGGTCATTTTACGGTTTTTATATAACTTAATCTTGTGAAGATAACGAAAGTACCTTTTGGCAAGACAAGGGTCAAACCTAAGGAGCTTCTTTACATTAGTCCAAAATGTAAATCAGTTTTTAAAACATCAACATCTTAATTGCCGTATGTGCTTCGGTTTAAAAATAATCTAACATGCATTGTCATTGCAAGATAAAAGCGCTTCACACCAGTGAGGTCTCTTGGCTGTGTCCATAAAACTTCTATTTATTGCGTAAGTGTGATTTAAAGGCAGCAGAAAATGGGCCTACTCACACGTAGGGGGAAGAGTCATCTTACATGATTTTATTCAAGACAGCTGCAGCATCCGTTTCGCTATTGACATTTATCAATTAAATTTAGGTTGATAGTCCTTAAAGCTTGGATTTCTTAAAGACCTGCCTCTCATAAATAGGATTCATTCCATCGACTATCGTGGAAGCAATGATAGTGAGATCAAAATGTTTCAGATGGATTGATGGAAAGGTCCTTAAAGAGCACTTGAATGCTGTTATTTTAGCTTACAGGTTAGAAATAGACGGGCCAGTATTTTAAGTTACCACATTTCTTATTCTAAATTAAGGCATGTATTTCGTAGGGGACTTTAAGGTTGACCAAAAGCAATCAAACTTCAATAAATAATGGACCTTATAAACATGCAGATTGAAAAATGGGAACATACAAAGTATCTGGTATCAACTATAAATACTACTCTTACCTCAAATCAAAGTAGATTTTCAGACACAAAACGAGTCTTTTAATCATCACACATCGTGCAATGCTGTGAGATTGTGGGATATCAAGCTCTTTTTCTTCATTTACATTAGGTACTCAAATCATGAAGAAAACCACTTTATTTTTAATAAGACCATCCTCACAAATAACATGTAAAATAGTTTTGTACCTCTTATCATTTTGAAAAGTGCGATTCTGGCTGGAAGGTGTACGAATTCAGCATCACCTCGATGATGTAATCATCTATCGACTCCACTTGAACAAATCTGCAGTTAAATTTAACCTTTTATCTACAATTGCACTATTTGTGGCTCTAATTTGATACTATTTTAGTTGAAAATAATTTGTAGTAATTAAAAGAAATAGCAAAATAATAAATAAGTGCGAATTTTCTGCTTTTTCTTTTTAAAAATTACATGTCTTTTTAGGCGAACGATCCATTGAATATACACATCAAATCAATTATGGGAGGAATAATTCAATATTTCTGGTAATGTTTAATTCAGCATAAATATGCATAATACCCTCATTTTGAAAACAATGGTTTTTTGTTAATGGAAGCCATCTCTGATTTAAATCTTACTCTAAGTAGACAAAGCTCTATCATTTGACAATCAACTTACTTTTTAGCAGCGCCCGTTGAGGAATGATTTAATAGCAGTCTTGTTTTTCATAAACGCATTTTATCCCACAAGCATTAGACCAGAAAATGATTAAAAAACAACAGACTATTAAGATAATAGTTAAGGGAATAAACTGTTCATAAAAACCGTACTATAACACATATGTAAACTTTTTTCTGAAGCAAAAAAGCAGAATGCAAATGCATTCAGAAAGGACTGCGGAACGGAGAAAGCGGTTTATAGCTAATAAGCGCTTACATGGTTTGCCAAATTCAGTACGTCAATAATACATTATGCACACTTTGTTCAGTGAGTTAACTAATGATAAATATTGTAGACATACTTCTTCGGATAGCTGTGACCTTCCAAAATTGTAACCCCATTGTATAGAGGCCGGATTTTCGATGCATCACTGGGCTTCTTTGAAACGATATAAAGTCGACCATCGTCATGGTTGTGCTTCTGACAAAGGCATTCCTCCTCAATCAGATCTGAGAGCAGTCTTAGCTTGCCGAAACGACGCTCACTTGACGGTCGGGTAAAATGCTTGGTTTCAGGCTCCTTGGTAACTTGTGGCTCAACTGCTGGTTCCCTGTCACTTTGCTCGGTCGAAACTTCGTCGTTGTTTTCCTCACCCCGTTGGCTATCCGAGGACACAGACGACGTTGAGGAGGTAGATCTTGTTCTTTTCACTTGATCACCCTCAGGAATGAGTACAGGACTCACAGACTGATTAAGAGTCTCATCGACTAGCTTTAGAGCAACTTCTTCGTAGCCCTCTTCAGTATGAAACTCAAGGGTTGAAACGCCATTTGTGAAATGTTGACCTGATTCTGGACGTTCATAGGAGTCAGGCAAAGAGGGGGTTTCCACCTTTGACAAAACGGGTGGGGGTGGATAGGCAAAATCTTTCATGAAAATGAAGTTGTGCACTTGTTCTATCACCTCCCTGTTGGGGGCACGAAGAACCTCAAGACGAGCTGGCCCATCGTCGTAACAAATCTCGAGAACACCGTATTGGGGATCAGATGGAAAACAATGAAACTGTTTGACGGCGGATAGATCAAAGTCCTTTTTTAGCGCATTATCGTTGGTTCTGATGATAAGTTTGCCTGCGGCCTTTTCGAGAACAATGGGTGTGGCTGAGTCCGATTCTTTCATGTCTTCCATGCAAATGTATGCATTGCGAGCAGAAAAAGTGCTCTTTTGAATGGTGTTACGACCACCTAACAATTCTAGATGGTTGGGAAAAACTTGGCATTCGACCTGCCCTGGCATATTGTAGAGTGATAAATAATAGAGTAAAGGAAACTGTGCGTATGCGATTAAATAGAGCTTTTGACTGAGCACGTCGCGTGCGTGCGCGCACACTGAGAGCATTCATTTCAAGTGACGAGTAAAAGCGCTGTCTGGCATGGCATGTTAGCGCAATGATGAGGTACCTCACATCGATCTTGCTGGGGCGTTTCACACAATTTTCCTGGTCTCACTTAACCCTCGTAATTAGTCAATCCAAATGGCACCTAACATTGAAGCCTAATGAAAAGGTGGCAATATCAAGTAACAGTAAAAAGCAGACCGTTTTACTGAAAAAAGGTATTTGAAAATAAAGATTTTCCTGAATAGCAGATTCTGAAAGAACATATTCCTGCACAACGGTAATCCCTTTATCTTCAACTCGAAGTATCGTAATCGTCAAACAAGCTGCATGTGAGTGAAAGGCGTCTTAAAAGATGACAGTGTACAGTTGAAAATACGTATGCCGGATAAGCTGAATTTGCAA